CTGGGTGGGAGGACATAGAACATCAAGTTTTCAGATTAAAATAGAGATAGGAACCTGCATTGTTTCTATAGAGCATAATGAGGAGCATAATCTAAGGCTTAAGATCCATAATTCTTTTTCTGTCATCAAAGGATGAGGTAAAAAGCGTTTCCTGCTTATGATGATTGCCACCAGGCCAAGGCAAGACCGTGGGGCCCTCATTGTGCAAAGCAGCACTTGCTTTCCTGAGCATAATGCTTTCTGCTATTCCTGGTGTTACTGCATTTAAAAGCATAAATGAAGCACCTACTGGTTAAGCAGTGAAGTAGGTCTAAAGTAGTGGAGACTAAACAATAGGTATTCAGAATGCAGTCATGTCTGAAATTATGCTTCAGTGCAAATCTTGAATTCTCAAACTTTTGTTTGGATAAAGTGAATGAGAGGAAAAGCAGCAGCATTTTGCTTTTCAGCCCTTTTGAGTATCTACTTCCTCTGATACATCATCAAAAGAGAAACACAGAAAACCCAAAAGATTGTTACGTCTGAAGCTGTAACGTTCTGGACAAGCTGCAGCCTGGTGTGCATGCTGATATGGAAGCTGGCATATCTTCTGGCTTTTGAAGGCTTCTTTTACTGTGATTTTTTTGATGACTTACAGCAGCTCTGGAATTTTTACCTGAGTGGGATAATAATGAAATTCTTTTCACTCACATGTCTGAGCTTGGAAATGCACTTCCATTTAGGCTATTACTACAGCAAGTGTGATTAAAAACAATCTGTAACCTCCTTCCATGAACAGTCTGAGGAGAAGGTTATCTTGGATTCTGACACGCGTCAGAAGTGTCTTAGATTCTGCAGCAAACTTGTGCTTATTTTCAGCACAGCACAAATAAGGACTGATAGCCTTTGGACAAGCACGGCTTTAATCTTCCCACAGTTTCAGTAAATCTGTATTTATAGGAATTTCTATTTTAAAGCTTCTTGCTGAAGTCATCAACATTATGTCATTTACTTATGTTTCACCCTAGGAAGGCATTGTGAAATGTGGTGTCTGTGTAGCCTCTAAGAAAAATAACGCTAATTGAATCTAAACACTTTAGGATATTTTTATCTCTGGTTTTATATTGGCTGTTAGTGAAGCTTGGAAGAAATAAGACACGCTTGAGGAAAGGGAAGCTGGTAGTAGTCCTCTAGCAGATTGTGTCACTTTAGTTTGTTTACAAATGAAGTGGAAAATTAGTTATTTCATAGAAGCTGTTATCACATATAAGTCAGCATGCTAAGAAGCAACCACCTTTCCATTTTGCTTTTCTCATGGACTTGAAATAACTTTAAAACACTGAAATTTGAACACAGTGTCGGTTGGACTTGACATTTGAGGAAACTTGGGGTCTTTCAGTTTTATGTCTAGAATCATAGAATCATAGCATATTTTAGATTGGAAGGGGCCACCCAGTCCAACCCCCCCTGCAGTGAGCAGGGACATCTTCAACTAGCTCAGGTTGCTCAGAGCCCCATCCAACCTGGTCTTCAATGTTTCCAGGGATGGAGCCTCCACTACCTCTCCTATAGGCCCCCTTTAGGTACTGAAAGGCCGCAATCAGGTCTCCCCGCAGCCTTCTCTTCTCCAGGCTGAACAACCCCAACTCCCTCAGCCTTTCCTCATAGGAGAGGGGCTCCAGCCCTCAGAGCATTTTAGTAGCCCTCTTCTGGACCTGCTCCAACTGTTCCATGTCCTTCTTGTGCTGAGGGCTCCTGAGCTGGACACAGGGCTCCAGGTGAGGTCTCACCAGAGCAGAGCAGAGGGGCAGAATCACCTCCCTCAACCTGCTGGCCATGCTTCTTCTGATGCAGCCCAGGGTAGGGTTGGCCTTCTGGGCTGCCAGCGCATATTGCCAGCTCATGTCCAGCTTTTCATCCATCAGTACCCCCAAGTCCCTCTCAGAAGGGCTGCTCTCGATCCTTTCTTCCCCCAGCCTGTACTGATACTGGGGGTTGCCCCAACCCAGGTGCAGGACCTTGCACTTGGCCTTGTTGAACCTCATGAGGTTCACACAGGCCCACCTCTCCAGCCTGTCCAGGTCTCTCTGGCGTGTCAGCTGCACCACTCAGCTTGGTGTTGTCTGCAGCCTTGATGAGGGTACACTCCATCTCGCTGTCTATGTCATTGATAAATATATTAAACAGCACTGGTCCCAGTACGGACCCCTGAGGGACGCCACTCGTCACCGGTCTCCATCTGGACATCGAGCCATTGACCACTACCCTCTGGATGCGACCATCCAACCAATTCCTTATCCACCTAATAGTCCACCCATCAAATCCATAGCTCTTCAATTTAGAGAGAAGGATGTTGTGGGGGACCATGTCAGAGGTTTTGCAGAAGTCCAGATAGATGATGTCTGTTGGTTTTCCCTTGTCCACTGTTGTTGTCACACTGTCATAGAAAGCCACTAGGTTCATCAGGCAGGACTTGCCCTTGGTGAAGCCCTGCTGGCTGTCTTGAATTACCTCCCTGGCCTTAGCATAGCTTCTAGGAGGTTCTTGATCTTCTTCTAGGAGGTTCCATGATCTTCCCAGGCGCAGAGGTGCGGCTCACAGCTCGGTAGTTCCCAGGGTCTTCCTTTCTACCCTTTCTGAAAATGGGCACAGTGTTTCCCTTTTTCTGGTCACCGGGGACTTTACCTGACTGCCATGACTTTTCAAATATCATGGAGAGTGGCTTGGCAACTACATCAGCCAGTTCCCTCAGGACCCTGGGATGTATCTCATCAGGTCCCATGGACTTATGTGTGTTCAGCTTCCTCAGGTGGTCACAAACCTGATCTTCTCTTACAGTGGAAGGGGTTTTACCCTCCTGGTCCCCCTCATGCGGTCTGTCAACTTGGGAGGGGTGAGGAGAGAGGTTGCCAGTGAAGACTGAGGCAAAAAAGTTGTTGAGTACCTCAGCCTTCTCCTCATCTGCTGTCTAGGATAAGAAAATATTAACAAAAAATTGCAGATATGAGCAAATTTAACTTTTTACTTTCTTATGGTCCACTGAATAGCTACTATTAAACAGTCTTGGGCTAACGTGAACACTTAAAAGTGTAATAATGCTACTTTGCATATGACTGCTGAGTATGCAGTCTAAAAGAGGTGTATTGTTCCTATAACTTCAGGTGCCATATGGTTTAAATGGTGACATCAGGAGCCAACTGAGAACTAAGACTAAGAGGCGATTGATAAAATAAGTTGCTAACACTTTTGGTTTCTGGTGGTACCTGTTATCTGTTCGGTGTTTGGGTTCTACACTGATTATTGGCAGAAATATGGATAAAAGTCCAGCAATTGGAGCGAATAATTCTTCATGCTGCATAGCATTAGCAAATGAGTGAGATGAAAAAAATCCTGTTTTTATAAAATTAGTGTTGCCCATTGTGACCTACTCTCCTGGACATGGGAGGGCTTCGGCATGCTGAAAGGTCTTTGCTGCCACCAGATGTCAGCATAGACATGGCTAAAATCACTCTTTCTGTTCCTCCTCTGAATTTGCAGCTGGTCATGTACCTAGGATTGCTTTTCTCTTGCGCTGAATAATCACATACCCTGTGCAGGTATTGGTTCCTTGTTCAGGGGTTTGGTAGCATGAGCACGACAAGTAACCTGTTAAGTCCCGTACTCAAAAATGGTATCAGATCTAGGCATCCCTCATGCAGCTAATATTGTAGGAGAAATGTGACAATTTCCTCCTTCCTCTAGTGGAAGGGCCAGCATTACTTTTTTATACACTAGAAATGATTTAACTGATTCTAGTGGGTGTGAGGGAGCAGCGTACTGAGACTGTACCTCTGTAGTTAGCCTGTCTGATTGTTCCCCTTTGACTGTTAATGAGGAAGATATAATACAAAGGAGCACAGGCAGATCGACAGCAATTACTTCATGGCCTGTTAATACAGATTTATTTGAAAATGGTGAGTTCTTACTCACAGAACTTGAATTACTTGTGACTAGAGGAAGACTCGCAGAAAGTAGAACTTCTTTAAGTAGTGCCTTCCATATAAACAGAAAATAATTGCAGGCTTTTCTAGGAGAAGTGAGAATCTTCCTTGAGGTATAAATTTACATAGGCTTCAGAGTTATGAAATGAGTAGTGTATGGAGGGAAGGAGTATTTATTTAAAAAAAAAACAAAAACCAAACAGCAAAGCTAATCCATTGGAAAGTGGGGTCACAGTGGGAGTTGTGCGCTTTAGTACAAAAAATTAACAATATCAAAGGACATTTGATTCAGTAAGCTCTTGAGTCTTCAGAACTGAACCACAGCTGCTTTAAACTTTTGTATGAGTTGTCTTTGTCTTGTAACTGGTTACTTTGCGAAGGTTTAAATTTAACAGCTTATTATGTCTTCTGCAGCTAATGTCCTTCCTCCCTAAATCTGTAAAAAAATTGAGGCTATTGGTATCCAATGTTGCAAATAAAGGAATCTGTTAAACAGAAGAAAATAGTTGGGGTTTTTTTTGTATGAAAAGGAATCTTGCTTCACATGCACTGTATTGCATAAGTTTTTAAATTTAATTTTGGCAGTCTTCAAAAACAGAAGCCTTAAATGCTGAAGGAAAACCATAATGATTTCTTGTTTTTAAAGCCTTCTATTTGAGACTATGAAATATGAACTTGATCTACCAGAATCACTCTGGAGACCAAACAAAAAGCCACTAACAGGCATTTTGCAACTTCCATTAAAATCAGAGGGCATTGTATCTGCTTATGTATGGATGGAATTCAGCCTACTGTCTTTTGTTAGGCAACATCAGGAGATTAATTTGTGAACTGTGTGGAACATAGCTGCTCCTTTTTGGAGTATCATGATCATTGTTAGAGATGGTGATGCCTTAAGCTCAACTGCAGTTTCTGCTTCTTGAAATGAAGTAAAAACTGATACAAGAATCTTTTAGTAGCCAGCAAGTATGGATAAGATAATAGCAGAAGTGACTTGTGGCCTTAATGGAGCCTTAAGTTTTTCTTTTTACTTAAATACAGGTTTGTAAGCGAATGGACTTGGTTTGCCAACGAATGTTAAATCAGGGATTTCTGAAGGTGGAAAGATACCACAACTTGTGTCAAAAGCAAGTTAAAGCTCAGCTTCCAAGGTATGTACCAGTTAAAACTGTAGTTAAACTTAAATGTGCTAGATTCATTTAAGCAGAATATGAAAAGGAATTCTTTGCTAGTTAATTCATCTTAACATATCTTGAAAATTTGAATCACATTTGTTTAATTTTTTTTTTTTCCAAAAGCACCTTGAACCTAAGATCTAGTTAAAAAATAATGGTGTGGATGAACATAAGTGGTTGTATACTAGGAACTGGAATATTGGAAAGCGTCTCTGGTACTTTAAACAGAGAAGAGCGGGTCCTGTATTGCTCAACTCTTCTGGCAAATCAAGCAGGGACTCCTAGGAATGAATAAATGCCATTCCTTTTCAAGACTGATTGCCTCCACTGATGACTTCTCTATGACTCTGCTTAAAAAAAAAAAAGCAAGGTTTTTCAGTGCCAAGGATTAAACAGGGGAAAGAGGGGGGAGGTTTGACTTGTGAGCATTAATGGGAGCTGGTTTCTCGCTAAAGCAATGCCTGTCTCTTCTCCTCTTTCCAGTGAATAAGTGCAGCTGCTGCTGTGTCCTATCAGATTTCCCAGCCAGAGTGAAGAAACTAAATGCTACTTACTGTAGAGATCTTTTGTCAAAAGAGCTTATATCTCAACCTAAACTTTGTAGCAAGCACTAACAATATATTAATGTCAGTAGCAGTAAAGTACTAACTGTAGGAATATGGGGGGATAAAAACATTCCCACTGGCTCAGTGTTTACTGAAAGCTTGTTTTTAAATAGTCTTAAATTACATATAGCGTTTACAGGTCACATAAGATGTAGTAATTATTTAGAGAACAGATTTTGTCTAAGAAGGGGTAGTATGCTATTACTAGCTGGTATCAGGTTTTTTCCAGAAAGATAGAACTAATGTTAGTGGTTACGTGTTCAAACTGCAGAGGGTTTTAAGAGTGAAATTAACTTGAGCGATCATTACAGTTTAATTTTGTTGACTCATTGTTAAATCTGTGTCACTTAATGGTCTGTCTTCTAGGCGAGAGTCAGAGAGAAGAAACCATTCATTAGCTCGTCACGCAGACATCCTTGCTGCTGTAGAAACGAGACTCTCTCTGTTAAATATGACTTTCATGAAGTATGTGGATTCCAATCTCTGCTGCTTCATACCTGGAAAGGTAAAATGTAGACTATATTATGTGAATGTGTATCTGTGTTTAAAAAAATATGATTGTGTAACTTAATACAGGACAAATTTATAGATGTATATATATACAGAAAGTATGTTTCAGATACTTGCAAACAAACACACAAGCCAGTGCTGTGCTCTAACGAGCAGTCTGAAATGAATGAACCAGACTATATCTAAATATTAATTATTTTAAATTTGATTTCCATTTTCCCTTAGATTCTCTCTTAATTGTGACGTTTGACTTGTGGTATATACATGTTATACAACCTCTTACAAGAAACACATGATATGTAGGGTTTAATTCTGAATTTTAACTGTACAAAACAGCTGGAGGCCAGGTCATCAGAAGATGTAGTAATGCAGACTACATATAATACTAAGCACTGAGTCAATCAGGAAGATTTTAGGCACCTTTCTTAAGGGTTTGAGTACTTCAGATTAATTGAATGAAGATATTTAGTACGTGGAAACACTGTTCAGTATTACAATGGATGGGGTATTTTTGTACAGTAGGTGGAATTAGTTTTAAATGTAGATCAAGTGTTTTAAATATTAATACTACTGAACAATTCTGGTGTTTCAGAATACTACCCCAACATGAAATAGAAACTATGTGAGCGAGATGTACATTGGAAATACCACTGTTTTATAAGTTGTGAAAACAGAAGTGCACAGGGGAATTAACAGAATTATGATCTGAGGGAGACTGGTGCAACCCAGGGTACAGCTCAGGGTTGAAACAAGATCAGTGAACATTAGCCTAATGCTCTGTTCATTGATCTTTCCATGTGAGGTTTGGATATGTTGGTATTCATTTTTCATGGGCAGGTAACTGAATTGCATAGGGATGAATGGAAAAGTTAGCTGTTGGATTCAGGTGAAGCATGGCAGGCATTTTTGCATTCAGTACAGTAGGATGGGTTGTTGGCATGAAATGTATTTTTATCTTGAATAGGTAACTTGCTTTCTATACACTCTTGTTGACTTGGTATTTAAATAAATTTAATCATTGTAGTTGAATATATTTATGCTTATTTGACTTCATATATACCATGCATTTTAAAAAATGTAATATAATATGAAGTCAAATAAACTTAAGTCCTTGATACTTGCATAGTAAATTGAATACTTAAAAGAAATATTGCCTTACTTTTTTGAAGAGTAGACTGAAAGACAGTACTCAGTCTTGACCTGGGGTGTGCAGAGTTGGGCAAGTGAGCTTGCCAGCCATTTTCCCTGTGAGCACTGTCACAAGGACCTTGTTTGTATTCTGATACTACAGCTAAGAAGGTTTTTGGTTTTTTTTTAATTATTTACTTAGTGTATGAACTTGCTAGTGCTGCTGCTCTCTCAGCACAGTTACCAATTCACCCGAAAATCCTATTTTGGTCAAGCAGATTCAAGGTTCAGTGTTCACTTACAGTCTGTGGTTTCCCCCCCACCTGCCCTGCTCCCCTTGGGAAATTTCATCTGAGTGAAGCTACCACAGAATTGTCGGGAAGTGAATTTGTGTTAGAATATGTGAATCCTGATTTGATTCGGCATACTGCATGAGGGTTCCTGGTGGCAGCAGAGCACTGCTGCAAGATTTTATATTGATGATGGCAGGAGAATGCTTTGAGGATATTGCTGCTAACAGGCTTATAACCTGGGTAAAATTAGATAGGTCTTTTGTAAGCTTGATGAGACAGTTTAGTCTTGCCTAGCTTTTGCAGCTTTTTAGCTAAGCTTCTTTATTAAAACACAAGATGCAACTGTATGTATTTCGTTACCTGTGATTCTAAGTCCTCAAGATCTGTGTTCTTCAGGAGCCTGTTCAGCCATTCTTAATCCTGTGCAAAATAGCTGTGTCAGTAGTTTTGGTAGTAAGAGACCAGCACTCCTATCTTGACCTGCCTCAGACTATAGTTCATAGATTAGCAAGGCATCTTTCATACCTCTCTCTCTCCTAAGCAAGGGCTTGTTTGTCAAACCTGTTAAGAGTGTGCTTATGTTCTCTGTCAGTAGTGGATTGATGTTTTATAAATTAATGTATTTTGGACTTAATCTGAATTTGGAGTATTTTGGGTGCATGCAAGTGGTCTCAAGTAAATATTTGCAGCTCTTCAAGCTGATGTAACAATGATTCTTGCTGTTCCATTGATGTGTTTCGTATGCCTCGTAACTGGCTGGGGGAGCGACTGCTATGCCGTGTGGCTTCGAGTATCTTGCCAGGTTCTCCAAAAAGAAATTATGCTCTGCTGAGTATAGATTATATAACTTACAGTATGGATGTAGTAAAACAAAATTTCACACAATGAGCATTTTTCATGAGTTTGAAGAGAGTTGTTGTGATAGATCAAGTGAATAGCTTCTCTGATATATCACGAACAGCACTTCATTTGAAAAAGCTAATCTAGAACTAAAGCACACGGTGGTATGCAATAGTGATGTAGTAAAAGCCCCTGAATATGCCAGCATTTCTAGAATGATCTGAAATAATCTTGCCTTTATCAGAAAATCCTAATTCTTCTTAAATGTTTTAGGTAATAGATGAAATTTATCGTGTGCTAAGGTATGTAAACTCTACAAGAGCTCCTCAGAGAGCTCATGAAGTTCTTCAAGAACTAAGGGACATTTCCTCCATGGCTATGGAATATTTTGATGAGAAGATTGTTCCAATACTGAAAAGAAAGATGCCTGGGTCAGATGTATCGGGACGTCTGATAGGAACTGCCCCAGGTATTAATTCCAACATATAGTTAAGTTTTATTTAGATTTTCTGTAAAAATTCACAGCACTGTATCTTTTTAAAGCTCCCTCCCTTAAATGCGAGCTTTATTACATAAGTATTGATGATACTTGTTTCTTAAGAATGCTAACTGAAATTCATTTGCTTTGAAACTTAAGGAGCCTTTGTACTACCAAAAGAACAGTCACTTGAATGTATGTTAGAATTATGCATAGTGTGTATTCATTAAACAAACGCTTTTGTGCCACCAATGAATGAGACTTTATCATTGCACTTGGTTGAAATTTGGCACATGAGATGACAACTCGATGCCTTTTATTTTTAGTACGATCAGCAAATGAATTAGCCTAAGCTGTTGTAGTACATAGAGAGCTAGAACATACTTGTGTGTGCTTTTTTTTTTCTTTATTATTTCCCAGGGCATTAATGTATATGCTAACAAGCAAAATACTTATGGGTAATAGTGAAAAGGTAATTAAAATAACAGTCTATAAATAGACAATGAAACTGGTCCTTTGTACAATCTGTCAGACTTCCCAGGACTTTTGTGAACCAAAGTCCAAGGTAGTTGCCTCATATAATGGCCAAAAGGTTAGTAGAACTCTGTAGTTTTTTCCCTGTACTGTACATCTTCACACTTCTTAACTTAAGAACTGTGAAATTAACTCTCTGAAAGGATAACTTAATAAAAATTTAAAAAAAAAAAACCAACAAAACCATCTTAAGCAAAAATGATAGGCCTAACTGTAGGAGCTGCTTGTTGTTTCTGGTATGTCCTGTCCATCCTTTTAGCCGTAAGTGTGTATGCCACCTCTTAATTACATCCTGTTAATTATACCTCAATTCCTTTTAGTCTGCCCGTTGAGGAAGTATTGCCCAAACGCGTAGTTGATGTCAATTGGCTTTTCAAGGCCAGGGCTTTCTGTGGCATAAAAATGCCTATCTTGTGTTGAGGGAGGCGCACAACCTATCTAATGGCAACCCCTCAGTGTCACATAACTGTAGCTATGCTGGCATCTTAAAGGGGGAAAAAAAAAAAAAGAGGAGGATGACGACTGTTCTAGAATGTTCCAGACTGCTCTGTCTTTGTAGTGCTTAAAAGTTGCATCTTATTTGCACAGCATTGCTCAAAGAGTAAAATGATAGAAAAAGTGATAGATATCTTTTATGATAGAAAAAGTGATAGATATCTTTTATGATAGAAAAAGTGAAAGAAATTATACAGTAGCTGTTAGTCTCCTTGATTTGCAGGAACTTTATTAAAATCAACATTCCCAAGCTCAAATTCCAGTATGGTTTTAGTACTTAGGAAGAGTGATTCTAAAGAAGCATGGAAAATAAATTCCTTTCTTCTAAAAAGTAAGTTAAACTGAAATATCTTGTTAAGCCCCAAACCACAGAATTTTAGAACTTCAGCTGTCCACAACTAAGACAGCAGAATTGTACCTCTCTATCGAAATATATTTATTTAATATAACTTTCCTGTAAGAAGTAATTTATACACATGTTGTGGGTTTTTGACTTAACATCTGTGACACTACGTCTACATGACAAGATAATATCTCTATGTAATTTTTGATACAGCAAAAGGAAGGGGGGCTTACATGTAGAAAATGAATGATGAGCTGCTTTCCAGATTACTGAAAATCTGAAGTATTTTAAACGAAACTAGTTGTGCTCTGAGATACCATATGTTCTTGTTAGACACTTAAATGACTGTAAATCTGTACATGTTCACGTAACTTGCAACCAGTATTCAGATTGATGTTTGGGGAGTAGGGATAAGCAAAATATGAAAACTGGGACACAATTTCTAGCTCTGTCTTAAAAGTTGTAGAGGATTAATCACCATTTTCTCTGAAGTTCCAGGGCCTTCTGCAGCACTGACAACAATGCAGCTGTTCTCCAAGCAGAACCCCTCAAGACAGGAAGTCACCAAACTCCAGCAGCAAGTAAAAGCGAATGGCACGGGCTTGACAGCGCTAAAGCGAGAAATCTCAGAGCTTCGCATCAAAGTGCAAGAGCAACAGAAACAACTCCAAGATCAAGATCAGAAACTGCTAGAGCAAACCCAAATCATAGGTGAACAGAATGCCCGGTTGGCTGAGCTCGAACGCAAGCTGCGAGAGGTGATGGAGAGTACAGTAGGAAATTCTTCAGGTTCTGGCTCAAATGAACAATCTCCAAGAAAACGGAGGAAGGCAGTTGAATCCCCAGACTGTCCTAGGAAATCTAAACGCCTTCGAAACAGAAAATAACTTGGGAGTAAATGACACCTTCAGGAGGATACACTGCTTTAGTAGCCCAAGCAGGTCTGCTTGTTTGGATACTGTGACTAGCTTCATGGTGTCACTTAGGCTGCTGGCTCTTCAAAACACCACTTAGACTTGAACAGTAATTTTCTTTCATTGAGACTTTTCCCCTGCTTTCTGTATGGGTGGGCCTAATGCACAGAATCTTTAAGATTTGCAATAGATACATACTAACCAGACCTGCTCTGTTATGTTTTGAAGGGTTAATCTTTTTTTCTGTGCAGATGTGTTTAAAGTAAACTTATTTGTGTTTATGCATATGTTCACATAAAATCTTAAATAAATTCAGTCTTAACTGACTAAAAAGTTAAGCGTAAAAACAGATGTCATGTTCACTTGAAGGAAAGATCTGCTTTTAAAATCTTGTTCTAGAGAACTTGACCTTTTTTTGTTACAAGTGACCTTGTCTGGAATGTCTGAAAAGTAGTTAATACTTTTTGGAGATCTCTGTAAGGAGTAAAACTGACTTCTTAAGCTACAGTATTGGCTATATATTTTTGTAAACTTAGAAAGGAAGGGCCTTCTATCCAGTCTTCACATGCACACACCCTGGTTCTAGGTCTTGGGAGCCATATTCTGCATTTGCATGGATAGATGCATGTACAGCTTAGCCTGCTAAAAGCACTTGCCTGAAATTGTTCTTAACTCTGGGAGAGTCAAGACACCTATAAAGCAATTTGTTTGTTCCTCAGCCATAACTTAGCACCTGCTTTCAGCACAACTGCTTTCTTACAATGAGGTGGACTTAGGAAGCTCCTTGCAGAAGAGCTTGGACCCAGGCTGTCTGCCACTTTCACTGCCTGCAGATTGCAGGTATTGTTAGCCAAAGCTGGAGAATTGAGAAGCTGCCTATGCATCCCTTGATTCATGGGCCAACATCTAACAAGTATCAGACAAACTGTCCCTACAGTAACCAAGCTCCGGGGGACACTGATTGAATGAAATGCTGTAGTATGGAAAAACTTAAAACTATTTTGTGTGTGTGTTGGGGGGGTGGGAGGGTCGGGATGGAGATTTCTCTGTAACACTGATGACAATATTCTAAGCTTTCCTTATCCTGAAAGGTAAACCACTTCAGACAAAGCTTTAATTTCTTTTGCACTTCTGTTTTGAGCTTGTAACTGGAAAAGCATGTCTTGCACTGTTCAGTCTCTCTGGCCACTTTAACAACCTCAGAGTTGTGTACAGTGATTTTTATTTGGTTTTTTTTTTTTTTTTACCCCACCATCTGTATATTTTTGGAACCTTATACAAATACCATTGTCCTTGTTTTTGTTTTAATGTACTAAACTATGTAGCTTTATCATTTGACTTATGTTTTCTTTTTTAATCAGCTGCTGTTCTGGGTTTAGGTGGTACTGAATTCAACTTGGTATGGCACAGAAAATGCGAAACTGCATTTGTAGCGGTTGAAAATCTTGATACTGTTACCAGGGGTTAAAGTGCAAGTTACTCTTACATTTTGTATGGCTGTCAGCATAATGTAGTGGTTGTATTTAAATCACCAAACAAATCAAATTGTCTTGTCAAATGTCATATAATCATGGGACAACTGACATTTTTCCTGAAATTTCAGCTACAATTTTTACTTCTAAAACCCATTAGCTCATATCAGAAGTAACATTGCAAATGCCCAATTTTTGCCAGACATTTAATTTTCAAATAAGTCTTTAAAAAAAAAAAAAAAAGCCTGTTTCTTAACCTTTTATCACTTCCTCGATGCTTTTCTTATCTGGAGGAAAGGTTAAACTGTTAAAGCAGCATTTGCTATTACTGGTCTTCCATGGCTCAGCGTTTTTTTGTTAATCTCTTTAAGATGGATGTCTGCTGTTCAGTTTAAAAATACTGGCATATACTTTATCTTTTAAAAAAAAATAATAATTTTGAATCAAAGGGTCAGCATCATAGCTATAATTACTGTGGATTATTTGGTACAAATTCATTTCATGTAATGGTCTAATTGCCAGATACTTGTGGTTAAATACTTATAAACAAGTATAAACCTGTGAATTGTGTTTACTGAAAAGGTTTATTCATACATCTCTTAGTATCTTTCATTTTAGTTTCTTTATTCATTTCTAGGAGATGCAGACAATTCGCCCCCCACCCCTTTCACAAGCTACAAACAGGTCCAGGTTATTCAAGGGTACCATTTCTTTATATGTTGGTGAATCTTTAGCTGTGTGTAAACTGAGCTGGAAAGAACAACGGCCTATTGTTACATGAAACATTGTCCGTGAACGGTGCCAACTTGGAACCTTCAACTCAAGGGAGTATCACGAGCTGCAAGGTTGCAGGTGCGTCATGATCCTCTGTGTGCTACCAAGTATGGTAGAAGTGAATGAGGCCCACGAAACTGAAGGGGCGGAGGGGATGGTTACAAGCAAGCTCTGAGAAATGCCACGACAAAGGTACACCACTGCTTCATTCTCGCTTCCAGGGGAGGGCGACAGACATCGGGCTGGAATACACACCAGTGGTATACATAGAATGTAGAAAACAGAATGAAACAATAGTTTAGAGAAAATAGCTGGAACGTTAACTTCTGACACCATATTCTCCCTTATGAAGTAAAAAAGGATGAATTTTGCAGTATATGAACAAGCTGATAAATACCCTGAAGTACAACTAAATCACTTTTGACTATAAATTTCAATGCAAGTTTACATGAGTTAGTATATCAGCCTCAAAGTACAGTGTTAGTAGCGACTGGTGATTGTGTAATCTGTTCAAGGGAGAACCTCAAACTAATTAGACTAAGATGCATTTTACAAAGTTACATGAAAAATCATTTTACCAGGGTTAAAGTTGCAGCCAGTTATCAGACTGTGGTGTTGCATCTTTAGTGCTTGTAGCAAGGGCTGAAACTGAATGGCTCAGGGTTGAAAGAGTGATAGTACCTGTCTTTTATAGTTAGTTTCTTAAAATAGCTTAAAACTCCTGAGGCTAGCCTTCCTTCTTTTTGAGCTTGACTTTTTTTTTTTTTTCCTAAAAACAGCAGCATGCTTTGTGAACTACTTTTTGTTTCATAGTAAGGTTGGGGATTTTGTACAAAGTTGTGTTTCTAGTGAACATGGTGAAAATGGTATCAGAAGATGTCACAAGGGTACTTTTTTGAGGGAAAAGCTGTTTGCAACCAGGTCTCCCTCCCCAGATTGAACAACTTCTATGGAAATGGAGCATGCAAGCACCTTCTAAACAAGGGCTAATGGATGTAATGGGTGGAAGCCCTGAAGGAAGAAAGACTACCTGCTTAGCAAGATGAACTTCTCAGATTAAGTAACAGATAGAAACAAATGTTAACATCTTCAATCCCTGACGCTCCCTTGGCATAGCACATTAAATTAACCACAGCAGTTCATGTTACAAGGATGCCTCTGCATAATTTCTTAACATAAAAGATAAGACCACATTGAACAGAAACTCAGTTGCCCTTACTTCTAACAGTTAATTGTGGGAAGCACTAAGATTGCCTAATGCATTTTCAACATCAAGGGCCTCTTGAAAATAGGACGACATGGGATGGAGTTAACTGCGTCTTCAGACAGGACTACCTGATTTCTTGGTGTTCCTGATGGTTTTAAGAAGGTACGTGGCAAATTACAGTGATAGATTATTATTTAATTCATCAGTAAATTCAGTTTGGAGTATTTTATAGTAATGTGTCTATTAGTTGTGAACTGTTCTGATCCTTTCCAGTTCCATTCCTGTACTACTTTGCACCATACCTGGACCAGCTCGCTTGTCCGTGTGCTCTCCACTCTTGCTGTTGTGCTTACTGGATCTCACCTTCCTGGTCGGACGGGGATGTGCTGCCAGCTTTGGTTTACGCATAACTGAACACCCTAGGATTTTTGTTCTAGCCTTGTGCCAGCTGAAGACATGCTAGGTACTGGATCTCTTTGTCTTCTGGAGGGAAAAAGTCAGATATAAAACTTGTTGGCTTGTGGAAGACCTAATATATCTGGATTTGTTACATGGGCTGCTTAAACCAGAAAGACTCGGTGATTAAGTAAGTGGTTAAATAAACACTTTGCACCACAGGACACTTAGGCAATTACATTATCCAGAACTTTCCTATTTAATATTTTTCTTGGTTGTTTAAGCCTTGTTTAGCTGCTATGGAATGTTTGGTTTATAAATCTGGGATCTTCTATTACCCTGCTGAAACTTTTGACGACTTACTAACCTATACATACTTGCAGTGCCATAAGCCTGCCTCTGCATACTGAATTCTTGATACTGCTTCTCTCCTTCAGTGCTCATGTTGACAGCTGCAACCTTTCTTTATCAGCAGATGCATTCATTCTTTTGGCAGAATCCTTCCCATGGATGAGAAGGTCTTTAGCGCAATGATGGAAAGCAGTGCTAGTATTTGAACTGCAGCAAGAAGGGAACGCATTCAGAAATATTAAGTACGGTGTTTATAGAGTGCAGCTGAGCAAAATGCTTGTGATCCGGGAAATTTTGTGGTCAGCTTCTGCACTGGTAACTGAAAAGCGCTTCCTGACTTCTGGTGAAGCGGTCACTGAGCAAAAAGTAAAACTGAACATCCCTTGCAAGGACAAAATGCCTTGATGAAATCTAAACATCTGTTCTACCTCTTACCCTGCACCAATCATCACAAAGTCTACAAAATTCAGATAGTGTGACTAAGAGGGGAAAAGCTGTGAATAAACTTCTCCATCTCTCCTTGCTCACTTTTTAATTTCTAATTCACATCCTCATACGCACAGATTAAAATTGCATGTGAACAAAAATATTAGCAAAGCTGTTATGTGTTATAGATCCTGTGCTTTGTCCATTGCTTTAGATCATAAACATTTTCAAGTAGGGATTCTACTTCCCCTACTTTTGCACTGTTGCACATGGGGCTTTTAGCAGCTAGTACATATTAGCCTTTTTTATTCATTATTACTATTTAAATTTAAGTGATGCATCATAAACTTTGAGATATTCATATTACATTAATAGCTATGGTATAATATACTTTGTGACAACCTCCTCTATTGTTTTTATCACTATTATTGATTTAGATTATTTTGAGTGGATTTATGGACAACTAAAATTCCAAGCAAGTAGTCATTCAACTTTCTACATAAAGTAATCTTTGCAACTGAACTGCCCGCAGTCAATATTATAGGAGAAATAGATTCAGGGACAGATTAAATGGAGTTTAGTTCTTACAAAAGAATTTGTCAAAGGAGTTCTTAAAATATTTTACCACAAAAAGCAAAGAAAACACAGACCTTGGTACAGGCGTTTTGAGTTGTAGTTAAATATCTTTAGGCAGCTTATGGAAGTTTCGATTTTGGACAGATGATAGCTAGACACATCTCAACCACGCACCTTGTTTTGGAAAACAAAAAATGTTTTTTAAGGAGTCGCTGTAAGATGCCGCCGTTCCTGTTTCCAGTCTCAAGAAAGCGAGTTGGGTGAGACGTCTGGCTTTTGGGCAGGTTGTCCCAACGACTGAGAGGGGCAGAAATCTCACGGCCGGTGACAGTTGTACGAGCCTGGTGCAAGGCAGCAGGAAGGCCAGCAGGGGTGGGTGCGGAGGAAGCTGGTGAGGCTCCACGCACCCAGCTTCTCGCAGGCTCCTCCTCGCCACCACGGTGAACGATGAAGGAGCTCCGGGTTCCCGCAGGGCTCCGGGCGGCAGGGCCGGCGCTACAAGCCGAGAATTTTCTCTCTCCCTCCTTAAGTGTTAGTTACGCATGCGGCGTTATTAAAGGCACCCGCAGCGCAGGCAGCAGCAGGGCCGGCCGGAGGCTCGCTCCCGCCCTGCT